AGCGTTCGTGCTGCTTTGTGCTCTTCACTTGCCCCGTGTTCCTTTGCTGCAGACTTTCACAAGCCCTGGTGGTTTTGGCTCTCTGCTGTGTTGAAGCCCTGCTCCAGTGGCTGGTTTTCAGACAGAGCTGCCTGTTTTCTCATTTGAGAAATAGGCCCTGTGAATTTGTCCCCAGCTGAGCGCTGGGAAGTAGAGGCACCCACAGCCCCTTTCGGAAAGGCTCATGTTTTCAAGTAACTTGAGCAAAGTCCTGGCATCAGCGACAGCTTCACATTCATTTTTGAGTCATATAAAAAAAATCTAAACTCTGTTTTACTATGAGGCTACGCCGATAACAGTAAGCAACCAAAGTCTCCTATTTTCTCCAGTTTTGCTTTCAGAGCACCCCAAACACTCATCTTTCCCACTAGCCCAACTCCCTTAAAGCTTTCTGCTAATTGACAGCGTTGATGTGGTGTCACGGTTATTTAACTTTAAATTTTATCTTGCTGTCCTACCCTCTCCATGCCTCTTTACACAATATTGGCAATGCATTTCTTTCCTCCATTTGAGCCGCGACCAGAGGAATTTCAGTTGCAGCTTCTCTAATTTCTTTCACAAATACTTTCTTCTTTCGTGCAGCAGATTCACAAGACGTTAGAGAATTCCCAGGTCCCTTTGGGGGTTCATTCTCTCCACGTCAGTTTTCCATAAGTTGACAATATTGGGGATACTTCTGGTGGCTCTAAAATTCCCCCCAGGCGCTTTGATGGTCTAATCCTACGTGTGCTTTGGTCAGAGTCTTTTCTTTCCCCCTCTCACAGTGTGTCCTACGCACATTGCACGACAGGAGCCAACTTGGCCACAAAACTCCTGTCAATCTGGTGTCTAGGGAGAGGATTTGGGTGAAATTCCACGCATGGCTTGCAGCAGGATCTCCTGCGCAGTGGTGGATTTGCCTCCTGTGACTGAGGTGCTGGTGAGTAAAGCTGCTGGGTTCCATCACCGCAGGGTTACTTTGGGGCTTGCAGCCGAGCAGCCGCTGTCTTTGATGTCTACCGGGTGCATTGAACAACGGTCCTGCTTTTCTGCTTCCGATGCGCGAGGTGCCTTTGCTTTCCTACCATTACATGCTTTGCTTTCATAGGTCTTTTCTAAATAGTATCCCTGTCTGCCTCGGCTGCCTTTCTGCACTGATGTGATGTTTCCTTGCTTTAAATGCCATCAGCCGGGAGAAGGACGTCCCTACTTTTATTGCCGTTTGTTGCTGGTTTATTGCTTGCTTTATCAGCTGAGAAAATTAGTGGAAATTCCTTTGCAACCCACAGCCATATTCCCACCCTCCTGCATCACTCCAATAAACCCTGCAGAGCTGGGTTTGTAAACTAATTACTGGCTGGAGGAAAGAAAATAAATTAATAAAACCAAGACCGCATTGCTTCATGCAAGCTCAGCTTTGTATCAGTCCAGGATCCAGTTGAACAGTCAAGGTCAATCTTAGAAGAAGCTCCTCAGACAGCAGGCTTGAGTGTTTCAGTTGCCTAAGAAAAAAAATCAGTGAATGTCCTGGAGGATTCCAACAGGAATTTGGGTGAAATGAAAGCCTGCCAAAAACCATGTTAACAGTAGATCACATAACTAATGCAGATTATTATGCTGGAGGGAGAAAGAATTCCCAAAACAGCATCAGCAGTGAGAAAAAAACCCTAAACTCATTGCTATTATGAAAAATAAAAAAACTCAAACACAGAAAAGTTTGGCAAAATGCTAAGGAAAATTTGGGCAGTGCAGGAGCATAGGAATGGCTGTGCTGGCTCAGATGAAAGTCCAGTGAGCCCCAGACTCAGCCTCTGACAGAGCCAACAGGAGAAGCTTTGATAAAAGCGCCAGAACAAGGCGAGCACCCTGTGATACTTTCCCAGTCTGCTTTCCCAGCTTCCAGCAACGAGTATCTGAAGGACTTCCTGAGCTGACAGAGCTGTCCTTGAATTTAATATCCCCCAATGGATTTGTTTCACATGATCCTGTTCCAGTTGTTCTTCAAGCCTGTGCAGACTTGCAGCATCCGCCATGTCCTTGAGCAGGGAGCTGCAGGGGATGGAGCATCATCGTGCTCCGAGCATCGGCAGCCCCTCTTGGGACCCTGGCGGAGCCTGGAAAAGGGGCCGGACCTGGGAG